TTTTTGTGTTATCAAAATCAAAATTATGCAACTTCTGTTGTGCATGCTGTGCTAATGCTGTACCATTTTCGTTCTTTTTTCTTAGGCTATACCTATGTTCGTATATTATTTTCTTTAGATATTGTCCTGTTTGACCTATGTATGTGTTATCACAATTAAAACAGTCTATTTTGTAAATTACATTAGGCGTGTTTAATTTGTCAATCCTAGGTTTAAATTTTGTGAAACATTCATTTGCTAAGGTGTTTTTAGTTTTTTCTGCTATGTTGATATTATGTGGTTTGAATATATTTTTTATTTTTGTGTTAATTTCCGGAATATATGGTAATGATATATACTTGATATCACCTTCTCTTCTTTTATTTATGTTTTTCCATTTAGTTGAATTGTATATTTTATTTATCAGATTGGTTCAAAAAATGACTTTGGATAGTTGTTTATTAATAATAATTTTTCAACTTTTTCAAGATTTTTTGTTCTATACTCCCAATGTGACAATTTAATGGCTCTATCTGTAAGTGCCGTTATTACACGTCTTTTATATTTCATTGGAGCGTACGATTGATAATTCAGGTACCTACCAGACCATACCTCCTTTGTGTACCAATTTGTTTTGATTTCCCCGTTGATATCATAATTAATTGTTAGGTCTAGAAAGTTTATAGAATTTCTTTTATCTTCTCCGAAAGTAAACTTTAGGGTGTCATGAAAGGCATGTTATGATCTAGTGTATATTGAATCTATCTATCTAATCTTATCTAGTGTATATTGAATTTTGTCTTTTGGGAAGCACATTATGCAGTCATCCACATATCGTTTAAAAAATTCACACTTATAGTTTAATTTAGATATTATTTGTTCCTCCAAATTTTCCATTACCAAATTTGCAAGAGATTTCGAACTTACAAGTTTTTGTGTTTTCTTAGCATTGATTCTGTATTCCACATCCTGTATTTAAAAAAATTTCTCGTAATTGACCCCATCTTGAAATATAATTTGCGTAATTTTGATTTCAGAGTGACTTTATTTTCCTGAACAAAAAACTATGATAACCAGAGATTTTTCAATAGTTTTCCTTATTCTGTTAGCCAGTAACATGGTTTTTATCAGCTTTTTTGAATAATTCTTTATCTGGGATGACAAATACCCAAGGAACGAGTCGTCTCACTCAAATTATAGATTGCATGTTAGTTTTGTGCGTAAAACTATGGAAGTTAGGCGTTTTCCGGAGTTTTTTCAGTATTCTGTTGGCCAGTAATAAAATAGGTAATAATCAGCTTTTATGAAAAAATATTTATTTGCGATGAGAAACATCCATTGAGCGATTAGTCTGACGCAAATAATATAGTAAATCAAACAAGTTTTTTGTATTATTGTTAATAGAGTAAATGTTAGTTCTGAGCGTACACCCAGGGAAATCGGGGGTTTTTCGGAGTTTTCCGGCGTTGTATTGGTTAAGGCAACGTGTCATTTGATAGTTTTTACTAGTGATTTCTAACCATACAAATTTCTCAAAATACAATTTGCCTAATTTTAATTTCAGAGTGACTTTCTTCAAAATCAAGGATTTTTCCGTGTTTTGTTGGCTAGTGACATGATAAATATCAGCTTTTATAATTAGTTCTTGATCTACGATTTATACAATGAACGTTAGTTCTGTAGTAAAACTATGGGAATAAAAAGTATGTATGAATACTGGTTGGAGTTTAACAAGAAATTAAAATAAATTTCATTTGACCATAGAAAATCATGTTTTTCAGAGTTTAGTCCATTTTTCCGGTAGAATCATAATCCAAAGCGGCTTTTTTGATTAGATACCTAAAGCTATGATTGACTGTATAGCGGAAAGTACCCTATTGTATTGTATACCCTATTTTCTCATGAATTTCCTCATGAACTTGGGTTTAACGTTTGGAGCGGAAAGGTAGGTTCAAAATTTCTGGGACCATTTATTTTTGAAGACACCAAAAACCTGGATTTTATGTTGGACGACTTAGATTTAGAAACATGGCGTAATGTGCAATAGTTTCAACATGGTGCCTCTCCTCTGCATAATTTTTCCCAAGTGCGGCATCACCTGAACGTAACATTTCCTGGGGCTTGGATTGGGCGAAACGGGCCTATTTCTTGGCCCCCTCGGTCACCAGATCTTTCACCTTTGGATTTCTTTTTGTGGGGAGTCGTAAAAAACACAGTTTTCAAACACATCTTCCAATTTAAATGCATGTAAAGAAACTGTTGTTAGAGCATTTGAAAATATTGATGGTCGGTCCGCAAGAAAAGCAGCTTATTCAGTTTTAAAGCGTTGCAATGTTTGCATTAAAAATAATGGTGGACTTTTTGAATGTGTTTTACAATAAAAATGTTATTGGCATGATTTGATTTTTGTAATAAACACTTTAAATGAGCAGCCGTCTTAATTGAAATAAAGTTAGTGCCAACTTTAAAGTAGTTGTCAAAATAAATATTGAAGCATACTGCTATTATTTGTTGCAATGGAAACAATGCTGTATGTCTTGTACTATTTCCATGGCTAACGTCGATCAAAAGTGAAAAAGTATAAATAGTTCGCAGATACTTTATTTTCGAAAAAAACCTAACGATGCAATGTATCATAGGAAACGTAATAAAATGCTATATTCCGTAAAGAAATAATCAAGTATGGTTGCAATTTAAAAAAACTGAAATTTGTATCATACGTCAAAAATGACAGTTATTTTGGAGAAATGTCTTATGCCATTTTGTTTGAAATTCAATTTCCTACTAGTTCTCTATTTAATGTTTTCCTGTCAAATTCTTCTCAACGGAATTAGAAATATTTTAAAAATTTACCATACGTAAGTTTTTTCCAAATATCTCTTGACAGCTGTCAAATTTTAGAACAATAAAATTGGTTTCAAGCAGGGGCGGATCCAGCTTTCGAGTCAGGGAGGGTCAAGTAATAGAAATTCACTCTTTTATTGCCTATGAAATTAGAAAAATTATTGTTAGTCGTTATAAACCCAGCACAAAAGGGGGATCATGACCCCCATGACCCCCCCCTGGATCCACCCTCGGTTTCAAGTAGAGCATTTAAAACTACAATTTTTTGTCCATTTGACCTTTTTCGTAACTACTCTAGTTCCGAAGATCCCTGTACCAGTGATCGAAAAAAATTCAACCTGTCTGTACCTACAGCTGAACTAGTGTTTTTTTTATACAGTATATGAACTAGTGTTCAGCTGTAGGTACATTAATGTCCTACTTAGTGAAAATGAATCAGACCAATGAAACCTTCAATTATTCGTGATTTTTCGACGATCAGCTTATCCTCATCGTGATACGTGACATACATCGTAAATATAGCCAGTTATTATCAACGCTTCATCATTGATTAAGCCTTTATTAATGCTGAAGATTCATGGTAATTACGTACGTCCTATATATTGATGTATATTTATCGCGTTCGCAAACCGGTATCAACAGTCAACAGTCGGTTGCTGAACTTAAGGTTCAGCTTTTTCTCTGTTCTAGCTTTTACAGTTACAAGTTAAATTACTCAGGTGAAATAATCGAAAACACATGCATCTACTGCAGACTTTCAGGTCACTGTAAAAAGAGCATACTTTAGTGAATTTTTTCAAGGTAAATTACTAGACTCATAGTTATCCACGCCTACAGGATTGTTAACAAATACTAAAATTACCAAACGTAAAAATTGCCAAATTATTAAATAAAAGAGTCTCATCTTAAATATAGACAATGTAGATAGTTGGTGCAATTATTGTTTCAGCTGAAATCATTAGTCATTTATCTAGAAGAAAAAAATCAAATGTATATTATGCGATCGCATGCATTGTGAGTTATAATGCAAAAATGCATTTTCTCTGCATCTGCAAAATAGAGAACTTATTGTTTTCAAATGTACCTATCAATGCCGAAACTTCTGTAAAAGTATGTCATCGTTTAAATATATTAGGTGAAATTAGACTGACTTTTGTTATCAGGAATTTGTATTGCCCCTCAATTATTTGAAATGCATTATACCTTTTAAGAAATTTAATTTAATTTATTTTTACTTAAATCTTCAACTCATAAAGAACCTACTTGAAGATGCACTTGAATCTTATAATGAACGGCTTAAATATGCGCATTATATTTTCATTAAAAACAGTAAACAGTTTTCATAATTATACGCAGTTCGTGTGAAAACACATAAATTAATATGATCAAACCGGAGATTCAAACAGCATTGTCATTGACCTTCACAATAATTTTATATTAATTGTGACTGGGCCATTGTTTACAATATCTAAATTCTATTTTTGATAGATCAGAGAGGCGGACTTAGAACTTGATTTGATATATCATGCAGTTATCAAGGATTATACAGATTAATGAGAGGGGTTGCAATGAAATGTAAATTTATAAGAATCATTAAATGATTGTGCAGTTGTGGACAATGCTTATTCAACATTACAATAGCCACTAGATAGTTTTATAACTTTGTGATAAATAATAATTGTTTCAGATTTGCCTGAGCACTAAATCCAGCTGAAACATGCTTTGGTTATTATTTATATCGGTAGCGGTACTTTTAATATCCTACCATTATGTGAAATATATGCATATATTCAACAGAAAGGGCGTAAAGCAAACAATACCATGGCCACTTTTTGGAGATCAATGGCGCACATTTTTTCGTCAATTAAGTCGTTTAGAACTCATCGAGTACATTTATAATATGTACCCAAACGAAAGGTGAGATTTCTAATAAAATATCGTTATGGGATTCTTACATATAATTATATTTTATATTACATGCGCATGTACCCACTGTATTTGTCTACCCTTTGTCCTGCAGCTATTAGGAGAGCGCCGTTTTTGTAGACAACAACTTTTGATATACATTTGTGAATGTAATATATTATAAAGACCTAATTACTAAAATTATCTAATTAGCTGGGAATATATGAAATCCATCTATCATGTGATTTTGTTTCAGATATTCCGGATTTTATCAGTTTTCAGTTCCTACTTTAATGCTAAAAGATCCAGAACTGATAAAGCAAATAACAGTAAAAGATTTTGACCATTTTACAGACCACAGAGCCGCTATAGACCCAGAACTGGAACCTCTCTTTGCTCGCAATCTGTTTACATTGAAAGGTAATATTGGCATGGTTGGTCGACACAGACATTTAATGTTTGTTTTTTGCCACAGGGCCGAAATGGAGGCAAATGAGATCAACTCTAAGTGGTTCATTTACAAGTAGTAAAATGAAAAATATGTTTTCTTTAATGAACGAAGCAGCTGAACACTTCACAAAATTCTTCTTAAATCAAAATAAAGAGACTATTGAAATTGAAATGAAGGACACCTATAGCAGGTAATTTCTAATCAGCTGAATTATTTCCCCAGCTTTTTGTTATCGTAGTTTATACCATAAAACAGGATATAGCGTGGACTTAAAGCCAAAACTGACTAAGTCTGAAATATCAATTTTTGGTAAATACACTTTTAAACTGAGCCAAAAAGTATATCAGAATCCTTTTGGAAATTTAGTCATTAAAAACATATTTTAGTGCACCTGTTTGTTTGGTTTTGGGGGACTTTGTCAGTTTTTGAAGACCAAATAATTTTTTAAAATTATTTGGTCAACAAACACAAATTTGGCAATTTTGGACTTGGTCATTTTTAGCTTTAAACCAACAATAAATTAAATGTTGTTGGGCAGCGAAGCAAAAATTTAAGTAATGATTACATTCAAATTAGAACAGTATACATAACTTTTTGGGTTGTAAAACTTTCCAAGCAGAGTTGGGAGACAAAATATGATGTTGACAAAAAAAAATGATAAAATGTTTTCTGTAATTCTTAAATGGTCCAGAAGTTAAATATTTTATTGACTTTATGAACAGGCGGGTTAACTATTTCCTCGAAAAAATCGGGATTTTTACCGTTAATCTCGGCAAATTTGTAGATTTCTAAAATGTTTTTGTCAAAAATTGTTATCATTGTTGATTTGAAAATCAATTAACAGCAATAAATTTTGATATGGTATATTTTGTATGGTACGATATTTATGCAGAAATTGTGATTACTTGGCTTGTTTGCCGCCATACTCGTGTTGTGTTGGCTGGGAGGTGAATTATCTCTCCTGCATTGAGATGATGCCTATTTTGATTTTTCGATTCAGAATGGGTCCTTACCTGTCAATTAATATTAACATTTTTGAATCTCTATATAAACCTCAGGAAAAAAGCATAAGTCTTATGATAGCTCAGTACCGTATACTTTTTTAATAGTTTTCCTATAAGTGTTTTTTTTTACCTTAGTAGTTTGAATAATTTATGTAGTAAGCACACTAGTCTTTTTGCCGAATTATTGAAAATCAACGTTAACCTGGTGCTCTCTTTAAGGTTTACAAACGATGTGATAGCCACCACAGCATTTGGGATTAAAGTTGACTCGCTTGAGGAAACAGACAATGTATTTTATTCTATGGGAAAAGATCTCACCAACTTCAATAGTTTTACTGGAAAACTACGAATTCTTGGTATAATGTTGGCGCCCAAATTATTCAAGGTTGGTAAAATCGAAGTTTCACTTATAACTATTTACTTTCAAACATTTTGTGTTAAAGGCATTAAAAATTGGCCTTTTTCCTACGAAATTCAAAGATTTTTTTACCAATGTGATATACGAAACTATTGAGACCAGGGAAAAGCAAGGTATTGTAAGGCAAGATATGATAAATTTATTAATGGAAGCAAGAAAAGGCATCGAAGAAAAGGAACTAGAAGTGCTTGACACAGGATTTGCTACAGTTAAAGAAACTCCAGTTGAATTAGGTACTTTTAGTAGATATGATTAAAGTACAAAAAGTGGTTTAGAATTCCGCATAGAATAAAACTTTTATCTGACAAATTATCTTATTTAAAGAGACATTCGTGATATTTACGATCCGAATTTTATGTTATTGATTAAAATCTAACGTGAACAGTTAATACTTTTACGATTTTATGGAAACTGAAACTTTGCTTCGGTTCGATGTTTTCTAAATTACTTCACATATTTTTGTAAAACGTTTTGCAATAAAATATTTCTAGATATGTATATTAAATTTCTGAAAAATAATGCGAAGCAACTAACGCGTGTTGGAAATTTGGCATTAAAAATTCAAGGAAATCGTGTGCACTTAATAGGCCTTAACGAAAATGCCTTAAATCACCTTAGAGTAATGACAAGGTAGTCTATTTTAGTCGTTTACGCTTTAACTGCTTCGTTTAAAATTAACTGAAAATATTTCCCTTTTCTTATACAGTATAGGAAAATTGTTGTTCAAACAAAAGACGTTCATGCACGAACCTATTGTGTTATCTGTGTGAAAATCTGGAACTTACTGAAAGAATCCTTGCAAATTTCTATTGTTTCAGCTAAGAATAAACAAATTCAAGAATTGACAAATCTGGATATTGCTGCTCAAGCCATGATTTTCTTTTTCGCTGGTTTCGATGCCATTTCCACTGTAATGTGTTTTGGCACCTACGAGCTAGCCGTAAATCAAGATGTGCAAGATAAACTCCGGAAGGAAATTCTTGCAACTCACAAGGCCAATAATGGAAAACTCACATACGAGAGTTTACTTAAAATGAAGTATATGGATATGGTGGTGTCAGGTAAATTTGAGTATATATATAGACATATTTTCTACCAGGATTCATTAGGTTCGAAAAATGGTTGAAATATTGTTTTTGTCAATCAGCTTTTAGAAAATTGGGTTTAAAATATTGTAATATTTGCAGAATTATTCATACCACATAAGCAACATCAATTAGTATTTTTGTACTGACAAGTTTACTATACTGTAATGATTGTACTAATCTATGGCGGATGTGCTGCCATTCAAGCAATACATACAATGCGACGACCAAATACGCAAAAAAATTGTAATATTATTGCTAATAGTTGATTTTTCTAGAAAAAACCCAAACGGTCAACTTTGTCTCTTTAAACATTCATTCGCAAATTTAATTCTAAAATATGTGTTGTCTATACTGGTTCATGATTGTCTAGAAATGCTGCGTAAATGGCCAGCAGGACCCGGAATAGACAGAGTTACTACCAAACCGTACACTATTGAACCAGTAAGACCCGGCGAAGAACCTGTGCATCTCACACCTGGAGATGTGCTATTTCTTCCAACCATCGGCCTTCACCGGGATCCAGCGTTTTACCCCAACCCTATGAAATTCGACCCAGAACGGTTCTCAGATGAAAACAAAGGGAACATCATTCCTTATACATATACGCCATTTGGTGCTGGCCCACGGAACTGCATAGGTTCACGGTTTGCTCTTTTAGAAATTAAGGCTTTGTTTTATCATGTACTGTTAAATTTCAAGATAGAACCAACAGAAAAAACTCTAATTCCCTTAGTATTATGTACCAAATCGTTCAATTCTCGAGCCAAAGGTGGGTTTTGGTACGCATTCAAAAGAATTAATAATGGGTTAGTCAGCGGTTAATACCTGTATAAAATTATTTGTAGTTATAGTTATAAATATATAGTTGTAGTTATGGTTCCGCACTTCATTCTTTTATATTTCGGGCTTAACATGTTTGTAAATAGCCTAATTCCTTTTTCTGTCCTACCTATCATATTACTTCAATTTTTTGACCACTGCGGTAATTTCTGTCCTATTGTGCCCTCGTAGTTTACTCCCTCATCTTGAGGAGGATACGCATGACCTAATCTGGTAGAATTTAATCCCCTCCCAAGAGTTTTCGTCTACCTGTTGCATATGACGTGCACTGACACAAAATACGACTGCAGGTCGGTTGATCGCTCAGTCCCATTCTGAAGAGGTGTTTTTTACAGGGGGAGTGTCCTGTTAAGAAGCCACCATCCTCCTCATTTTTTGCCTGCTGAGATCTACCAGTTCGTTTTTGTGCACTGGTTGTGGAGGTCCCACCAACGGCCTTGCAGTAAGGAGTCGCGGTATCTCCTCCCAGTATTTTCTATGTTTTTCAAGATTTATTGCCCAACTCGAACCTTAACTTGAGCAAGAGGCCACAAGCGGGTTCTTGGTTGGTCAGTGGTTGCTCGGCCCCTGCCGTAGCAAGTTCCGCAGCAATCTTGTTTTCTTTACTCCTGTATGTCCCTGTTGCCCAAGTGAGTTTTACTGTGTTTGAGCTCACAGCCAGGGTCGTAAGTTTTTTTACACAATCTAGTACACTTTGTGACCTGACTGTGTACGATTTGAGTGCCATTATTGTGGTTTCATCTCCGGTTACGATGGTAATATGCTTACGTGCTTACGTGTGTTAAACAGCAGATTCTTATTCAGGGTTACCTCAAGATATTTAACAGTGTCGAACATATGTATTATATTCCCATATACAGGGTGATACAATACATACAATGCTACAGTAACATAGCAGAAGCTGAAAGAACTCACGTCAACAAAGGGCGAGCAGAGTGGTTCCCGGAAGATCGTGGACGATAGATGTTCGGGTTCCAGGCACAGAGGAACAAGGATTGGACATAACCGAATCAGGGCCTTCCAGGGGCACTCAGAGCACAACAGCTGACACTTTCCGAAGCACCAAATAAATACCGAGGAGGGCTACGTTCCTACCACGTTTGTACGATACCCACAGAACAAGAAGATACAAATGGAGCAGGAGTTAATTAACTGAATACGAGAAGCTGCTTGATAAGAGTGGATAATAAGGAGATTACACAGGCACTAGCTTGCTTGGAGTTAACCATTCAAATGTTTGGTGTTGTATGGTATATTTTTGGTTTATTTGTCAACACCGATATTCGAGGTTATGAGAACAGGTTGACATTTCGTCAACAAATCTTGTTGAATTTACCGTTTATCCTTGTCTATCTTATTTTCAGTCTGTATAATTCCATGGTTACCGGAGTTTTAAATAATTACGAAGCCACAGGTATTTGCGCAATGTTAATTAGGCAGACTACCTTGAAAAACCTTGAAAAACATGACAAAACAAGTTTTTTGAAAATTTCTCAGTGTTTCATAACAATTAATTTATTTTACTATTTTTTCTGTACTCCTATAACAGCTCCAGACGACACCTCCAGAGGAATGACGCCAATTTTGAATCACCCTGTATAGACATTAGTCTAAGGGCTCTAAATGCATGGTGGGGTAGTCTTTGATGCAAGCGAACACCCAGACTTTTTTCTTTGGGGACGTCTTAAGTCCATTGTTTATAAAAAAAGCGACAATGGAATAAGTAATCTAAAGACAATTCAACGCCCTTTAAAACGATGTGCCACTTGACCCCCCTTTCCATTTAATATTCTAAGGGTGACATCTACCCGTTCTAGGGGGTTGAAACAAGGAGCATAAAAATATTAATTTGAAGGGTCCACCTTACAAATAAAATTGACCGTTTTTTCATATTTTCAACTGCAAGAAAGATATCAAGGGTGAGAAGTTTTCAAACTAATACCGATAATACATCCATGTTTGACAACATGGACTAAATTTATTCAACTTATATTTGCTACATTTTTCGGTCAACTGACTGCAAAAAGAGGCTTTTTTCGAGTGCAGCTTGAAATGGGCTGCTATGCCGCGGTATCGTTTGTATTGGCACTTTCAAAGAGTTCGCAGAAAACGTTTCTATCAAACATCGATCTTTTATCGATGTCCCAAATTTCCAGCATCGATGGTAAAAATATCGAACATCGAACGAATTACATCGATGTTTGGGAAACATCGATGTTTTTCTCCCATCCCTAGTGTTAACCAGTTTTTTTTTTTTAAATGAGTTATGGGGAGGATTGTTAGCTTTTAAGCAAACCCACTGTGTACAAATTCTATATTCTGTCCCATGTTGCACAATAACCGTATTGTTGTTTTTCCAATTTTTGGACATGCTATCCAGGTTTTACTTTTTTCTGTTTCCAAATATTTAGTTCGTTGTTTCTTAGTTGAATTGGAACTTATCGTGCTGATCTTTGCTTGTTACCAATCGACTTATTTTTATAATGTTATCACATCAATAAATTATATTTCCACTCTCGAAGTTCATCCGCATAATGATAATTCCTTATCACATTAGATTAGAAGGATTGATCCTATCAGCTTAGAAATCTAGTAGAACCTTTCTTAAATGGTACTTATTGCCTTGTTTATCAGAAAATTTTTCATGAGTAATGCGGTTCAAAAATATTTTCAAGAGTGTAGGCGACACAGCATTATTTGAATTTTGCCTCTACACAAGGGACTAATAATTGTTTCTATAATATATCAGGCAAAATATGAACATTAAATGTAGGATTTAATTCTCGAAAATATCAACCCTTTGAAGTAGTTGAAATGCAAACCATTAAAGTAAGCATTTTCCGAACTGAAGCAAAATTTCTTATTCGAAAATTATGATTAAGTTAGTTTTTTTGGAAAATTACACCGCAGCATACAAGCAGATATGTATTGAGAAACTCGTAAGAGATAAGGCAATGTTTGGATAGTTTTATTCATCCTGCTGTTCAAAACCATGATTATGCATAGAGTTTATCTGCATTTTAGATCTGCCATAAAAATGCGTTAAAGCCACTTTACATTACAAGCAAATTAATGTTTTGGACAAACAGCTAGTGAAGCTGACGAATATGGAGAAAGGTGGCCACTCGAGTAGCAGATTGCTTATTTTATACTGAAAGCATTGGATAACTAACTGTACAGCAGACATAGAAAATTAGTGAAAACTTTTGCACAGTTTTTATTTGATTAAAAAATTCTGAGAAATCTTCGTTATTAGTTTAGAGAACTTCCCTACAGAACGTTTTTCACAAAAAACGTTCTTTTAGTCTGAAACTTTGATACAATCTGAAGTTCTAAACATTCTTGTAAACACTGAAAACTGATGGGAAGTGCAGACAGAGCAGTATTAAGAATGAGCTTCTGTAGCGAGAAAAGGCATTGAAATATTTATATTATGTATTTGAGATTGGTTGGACTGTATACTAGACATACACCTTAACGCCTCTTCACCTGCAACAGTACGTGGGTAACGACTTCATACATAATTTTAATCTGAAAGTTTCCATTTATTATGTTCCTTAAAAGTCTGCAATTGTGTGCTTCATAACTGTGTGTTCTTCGTACTCAAAATATGTCATGACTAATTATCTCTGCTTCTCTGCCATTTTTGGTACACTTGCCGTAAATTACTTTACTGTTAATTCAGCTAAGTTATGTTTGAACAATCAAAAGGAATGTGTAACAAACGTAGCACGCAATTAGAATTGCGAACTCACCAAAACAATGAAAAACTTAGACACATATTGAAAGATAGAACAAATATATGTATTCAAGGCATACAGAAGTTTGATACTAATGGGGGAAACATGTAAACCTTATAGGAGAGATTTCATCGAAAACATCGAATTTTACGACTAAAAAAAGAGTCCTAGATACGAACTCTTATTCAACAGTCGGCATTATTTCAGAACTTATTCGGAAGCTAAAAAATATATTTAACACCCGTCGCTACAATGTGAAGAAGACTTACAGTGACAGAAGGAAACTATTTACCAGGTATTTCTTGTCGTCATATGTATTTTTAAACACATTGTATGGCTTATTAAATGCTTGAACATAATACTTTGCACATTGACCATAGCTATTTATAACTGAAATAAACTTAACAATTTACTGCTCTACTAGAAGTCAGCCCATTTCTTCAAAAGTCAGAAAAATTTATTTAACGCTATCTACGTTTTTTTCGAGCTCCGTTTAAATCATGTTTTCTATATCAACTTTATTGTTTATTTTGTTTTTGCTATCTAATTTAAAATTTTCAAGGTCAATTGGATAATTGAGCGATTTTATACTAGAGGAATAAAACCTACAATGTTTCTGCATCACTTTATCTAATGAAATCCATCAGGAAAAACAAAAATAGACTGCATTTAGGATTGCGGTTGCTACTAAATCGGTCGTTAATTAAGGTTGTTTTATATGAGACCTATTTAACCTTGTAAGCTTGGCCATCACGCATTCAGTAGGTATCACCGAGCAATCCAGAGACTGGTTTGTGCATTCGCGTCAATTTCAATTAACTGTAAGTTCCAAATGCCTATTTAATATATTTTATATTTAATATTAATATGGATTAATTTTATTTATTCATTTAACATATCATTCTATGGTCTTATATTTAATATGGATTAATATAACCGTTGATTCATTTTTTAAATCCATAATCAAATTCCGATTTAATGCGATTAAAATAAATTATATAATTCGATGGTCGACATTAGTCGTTAGTTCTCAGTAATTCTCAATTAAACCCTCAAATTGCATGCAGTGAATAGTATTACGTATCAATTAACGCCGCAAAAAACTACATATTTTAACGGTTAAAATTATTTAAAAGGATATTTCTAGCCTAAAACAGATAACAAAATATATGAAATTAGATAGCAATAGTTCGACTCGACCTGAATAGGACGATTACTTTAGGTATGCGGAAACCAACAAAGATGAAAGGTCAATGTTAACACATTCATATTTTTGAAAAAAATTACTGCCTCAGGCATAAATTCAGGAAACAAAAACAGGTTGCAAAAAGAGCACGCCCGAACCGGTTTTGGATATGTTAGTCCTCTTGCTTGCAACACCGCCAAAAACTTGTCCTCATTTCAGCGATTCATCAAAGAATTTTGATTGATCATCATTTTGATGTTTGTGATTGATCTAAAACGTTTGTGCTTGTTGCCCAAGTAATTTTAAGTCCCCACAAGACTACACAAACAGGTGCACTAAAATATGATTTTAAAGACCAACTTTTCAAAAGGCCTCTGATATAGTTTCTGGGTCGGCTTAGAAGTGCGTTTATCAAAAATTTATATTTTAGACTTGGGCAGTTTCAACTTTAAGCCCACGAAATACACTTGATTGCATAGTTTCAGGCTAATCTCAAATAAAAGCACCTTTTACTGGCAAATGTCTTTCAATAATAGGACGAGCTATTGCTATTTTTTATTGTGTGTGTTTCTTAAATGTGTCTTGAATTGTGGCTTAAATGTGCGCGTCAGACCGTTCGAAAGAAGCAAGTTGAAATAATTTGAACGAGATCTATACATATACAGGATGGTTTTTAATGCGAGAGGGTCCATTATTTCCGGCAAGATCAAAGTGTATTTTTTTAAATAGAACTACCCATTTTTCATTCTCTAAAATATTTTTAAAATGTGCGCACTTTGCGCGTCAACAACTTTTATATGAAACTATTTTTCGAAAGTTGAACACCAGCAGAAATAATGGACTCACTCGCACTAAAAAACCACCCTGTAGATAACGAAATGCGTCTTCGAATCAGAAGGACGCTGTCTTTTTTATATTATGGTGTATCCTCCTGCTCATTTTGTAATAGTTCTTCTACATTTTCTAAATGAAAGTAACTCAAATCGAAGGTCTGGTGATCCCACAATCCGTCTAATCCGTCTAACTTTTTTTTAACATAACATAACTGGAAACACGTGAAAATACAATTTTTCTCAATGAGAAATCCTAATTGTTGGAGCTTTAACGCATATGTGCGCAGTGAAGTTACACACAGGACACAAACTTAAACGAAATGAACCGCAAGCATGTTTCTCAAATGTCCAATGAACCCATTTCCAAAAATCCATTAAAAAGTATTTCAGTATAATAAGTAGAATTTCAGCCTGAAAATTGCTTCTTAAATTTATATTTTGTATTGCTGCCCTTATATGCGATTTAGGAAACTAAGTCCATCAGTTTCTCCTATACAAATTACTTACTATTATTAATAAATTACTTATTAGGTTTTTACAGTCTCTGATTTTTTATTTCTGAAATGTTGCTCACTCGGTGTACAGGTTCATGTTTAAGTGTGAAATATTTTGATAGTTGCAGGCCAAACTTTTACGATGCTATGGTTAATATTATTAATCACGCTAGCAGTGCTAATATGGTTTCGATTCTTAAAACCCATGAACCATTTCACCAAAATGGGAGTCAAGCAAACGAAACCTTGGCCCATTTTTGGAGATCAATGGAGAACGGTGTTTCGGCAAATGAGCTTCCTTGATAGTATTGAATACTACTACAATATGTTTCCAGGTACTCGGTAAGTACAGGGTGTTTTTTTTAGAGGTATAAAACTCATAAAATTCAAGTTATGGTCATGGAACTGGCTTTATTGAAAAGAGAATTGTAAGCCATTATAGTTTAAGGCCCGTTTGCACCGTTGAAAATAAGCTTGGCTTCGCCATTAAGCTCAGCTTTCAAATAAAATTTGTTTGCACCACATTATAAACCAGGCTTACAGTATTTAAAGCTCGGTTTAAATTAAGCCGTCAACTTTGGTGGCTTATGGTGTTAAGTCGTAAATTCTAACCTTCGTTTCCTTCTTCATACATGTGGCGATAGTTAACAAAATTGGAAATTACGATAACAAACAAAAAACAAAAACAATGTATATCGAAACTTGTTTTGACATATTTGAAGACGATCTAGATATTTTTGAGATAATCGAATTTCGATTTCCAAAGACGATATATAACAGAAATAATTAAGTTGTAGATAAATTCTATATTGTTGAGGCGGATTCATTTTTCTTATAACCTGCTTGTTGGCTATTTCGCCTCAAAATTTTTTGAGACTAAGATAATTTTTCAAACGACAGAATTTTCTCACGTCTTTTATTACAGATTGATAAATAGTGCTCCTATTTCGCAATAAGAACGAATTATTTATCAAAAAGTATCAAGCACTATCACCTAGAGGGAATTCTGCGACACACTTAGGCTCAAGCTGCAAGAGAAAATTTCAATTAGTAAAGAAATTAATTTGAAAAAATTACCTTGTCGTTTCGATAGCTATTTTATGCTATCGTTGTCAAAAGAACCTAAACCCAAACAGCACAACGACATCTTAAAGACGTCTTTAATATGTCTAATTCAGATATGTGATACGTCCTAAAGACGTCTGTATAGGTCTTGAAGATGTCTTTAAGACGAAGATATTAAAATTAACCATATAATTTTTCAATAATAATTTCCAATAATTTTTAAACATGCAATCGTGAAAAATTATCGGTAATTTCAAAGCACTCGTGGTATTACCCCCGAAAATTTTGATATACTGATATCAGTACTACAGTACAGTTAGTCGTATCAGCAATAAAATAAAATTTCAATACCTATATAAAAAAATGTTAAAAAACAAAAGTTTTTAAAATATGAACGTTGGGTTGGAAAACACTCTAAACGCAAGGTTCCTAAATTGTACAATTTACGGCCATTTGCACCAGTGAACCTAAGGCTCACCTTATCATAAGAGTGACAGTTAAGTGACAGAATTCGTTTGCACCGCTGTCACCTAGCGTTAAGGCGAACCGTACTTGTCTTTATCTATGACCGTAACAGGCAAATAATTTAAGGGGAAGATGAAGTGCCGCTTAAGTGGAACCTAAAGTCAGATTTGAAGACTAACCTCAAACAGAACTGATATTGCATACTTTTGCAGTTGCAGTATTTTGTTGCAAACAAGCCCATTTGTCATTATCAATCGATAATAATTAGTATATTCCGTGAACTAAACCATTTTATGATAAATGTGTCTGTTATTTGATAATGATGACAGCGACCATGTGCGAGTTCCTAGACTTGTTTATGAGAAAACACATTATTTCATAGTTTTGATGATGTTCTGTTTTTTCAACGTGTTCCGTGTCACAAAGTACACCGCACTTTTCATATCGAACCTCATAGAAGAGGAAGGTCTATTTTATCTATATTTATATGTACCTCTGGTATATTATACGATATCTGTTAATTTCTGTTTATAGTTGATGGAGGATATA